GAGCCTGACGCTGCGGGGCGTGGACGGGGAATCTGATGCTGCGGGGTGCAGGTGGGTGGGCGGGGAGCCTGACGCTGCGGGGTGCAGGTGGGTGGGCGGGGAGCCTGACGCTGCGGGGCGTGGACGGGGAATCTGACGCTGCGGGGTGCAGGCGGGTGGGCGGGGAGCCTGACGCTGCGGGGCTGTCTGTCTGCGCAGGTACGAGGGGGAGTTTGTGCAGGGGAAGTTCAATGGCGTCGGAGTTTTCACGCGCTACGACTCGATGACCTTCGAGGGCGAGTTCAAGAGCGGGCGTGTGGACGGCTTCGGTGAGTCCCAGGCAGCCCCGGCGAGCAGCCGCAGCCCCTCCCAGCAAGAGCAGCGGGACGAACGGCCTGGGCAGAACCGGGCAGGCAGCCCTGCTCTCCAGCACAACCCCTGTTCCCCCCTTGGCCCCTGCTGCCCCGCTCTCCCACCACCCTGCTCCTCCCTGGTGTGTGCAGCTCCCTTCCCCGTGACTCCCTGCTCTTCCCTCCCCCAGGGCTCCTGACCTTCCCCGACGGCTCCCATGGGGCGCCCCGCAGTGAAGGCTTCTTTGAGAACAACAAGTTGCTGCGGCGGGAGAAGTGCCCGGCCGTGATCCAGAGAGCTCAAAGTGCCTCCAAGTCCGCACACAACCTCCCAGCGTGACCGTGCCGCCACGGGACTCCACTGCCGCTGGCCGGCCTGGCCTCCAAGAGCCTGCGGGCAGGAGCTGCGGTGCCCAGCCAGGCCGGGTAGGGGTGTTGGCAGAGCCATGGCTGGCTGTGTCCCTCCTGCTGGCTACAGCACTTCCTCCAAGTGCCCGGGTCCTGGGGGCTCCGAGTGCTGCCCCCCGCCCAGGGGGAGACAGGAGACCCCCTTCCCTGGGGCTCTGCTCACTGCCTTGGGACCCTCCATACAGACACCTGGGCCCAGCCCCCGCAGCCAGCCCTGCTGCTGTGCTGTGTGGGGCAGTGGAGGGGGCAATCTGCCAGGGCCTTGGGGCCTGGGGTTAGCAGGGGATGCAGCTGGGAGCTGCTGCACCTGCTTCCCCAAAGCCAGGCATGACGGGCAGGGGGTAGTGCCCAGTCGGTGCCCCCCAAGCTCAGCGGGAATAGTGCCCCTCCCCAGCAGGGTGCTGACACAGGCCTGACTTCGCTAGTGGGATGTGGCCGTGGCAGGGAGCTGGTATCTCCCTGCCCCTTGTTCTGATGCTGGGGGCAGGGCAAGGCTCCCCCTTCCCTTGCTCTGGGTGTCCTGGCCCCATGGCCCGTGCCTCCCCCTCAGCTCTCCCAGGGGCATCTGGCCTGAGCAGGCCCACGGCTCCTCTCAGCCGTGCCCTGGACAGCGAGACTTGGGGGGCTGTCCGGTCTCTATTGCCTGTCAGTGCCTTGGCACAGGGTCGGGCAAGGGCTGTGAGCGCTGAAGGGCTCCGGGGGCGCTGTGAGTCTGCACCGCCCGCGCTCACGCTCTCCCTTCAACAGTCTCCCTTCAGCCCTAGTGAGCACTGGGGCCTGCTGCAGCCTGGTGAGTGCCGGTGTCTGGGGGGCCGCAGGGCAGGGGCAGGGCTGGGCTGCAGCCCTGGAGGGCTAGAAGAGCAGGGGCTGAGGGACATCAGCAGTGTGAGGTGGGGGGAGCCAGGGCTGGGCTCATGGGGCAGTGGGCAGGATGGGGGGGCACCAGCGGAGCTGCACACGGGACTCCCCCCTTCCCCACTACTGCTTGTCTCTGGTGTCGGTTCTGCTGGGAGCAGTAGCCGTCACTCCTGATGCTGGTGCAGGGAGCCCGGGGCCTGGCCTGGCTGGGGGGGGTGTGAACAGCCCTGGCCGCGCTGCTGCTGCCCTCGTGCCTTGCTGTGTCCTCCCCCGCGCCGCCCCCGCGGGGCCTCGGCAAATAAACCGTGTTGCCAAACCTGCCCTGCTGTGTGTGGCTCTGTGAGGTGAGCTGGGGCCGGGCCTGCCCGTCCCTCCCGTCATCCCCCAGCTCAGGGAGGGCGACCCCCAGGGGGTTATACCCCCCAGCCCTTCCCAGGTTTGAGCAGGGGAGGGGCCCAGGACAGGCCCAGAGTCCTGGAAAAAAGGGGCCCAGGAGCAGTGACGGTCCGGCCTGGGGCGGGGTCCCGTGCCCTAGAGCCCCGTTCAGAGACCCCGGCCTTGGCACCAGGTTCTCGTATCCTGGCCCAGCTCTGCCTGCTGGCGCTGGGATCTGGGTGCCCCACGCTGGCTGGCTCCGGGGGGGTGGGGGGGAGCACTGGGCAGCGGGGCAGGGCCTTGGCTTTCCCGGGGTGGTGCTAAAGCCGAGCTCCAGTGGGGAAAGGGCAGCATGCCAGGTGCTAGGGGCAGGGCACTGATACGCTGGCATAGCCCTCCCTCGCTCTATGCTCTGTGTGCCCACGCTGGCTAGCCCTGCGCCTCCTGGGAACCGGTGTGGGCCTGCCCAAGCCCCCATGTTCCTGCTGGGAGAGGATACTGCCCCCGTCGGCCACGAGGTGTCTCCAGGGAGCAGCGTGCCCCCTCCAGGCCGCGGGGCGGTTCCACCTTCCATGAGTGAGGAGGGCGGAGGCGGGCGCAGTGCGGATGCCAGGGGTTTATTGACCGCTCACGGTGCACCAGGGACCCTGCACCTCCCCAGACAGCCAGGTCTCTCCAGGGAAGTGAGAAGAGGGGGAAGGGGCTCTGGGCCGGCCCAGGTTCTGGAGGGACCTGGGAATCCACCATATTGCTGAGGCCTGTGGATTGGCTCTGCCGTGCCACAGGGGGCTTGTGGGGGAAGGGGCTGCGCCCCCTTGGCCAGCTCTGGGGGGTCTGCACCCCTGCCCTGGGGAGGGGGCTGGGTGCCCTGGGGGCTTGGGTGCTCCTGGGAAGCAGAGAGAGGGAAGGAGGGTGCCAGTGAGGGGAAGGTGAGCAGAGGGGGGAGGAGTGAGGACCCCCCTTCCCCTCCCCCGTCACAGCCACCCATTGATGCTGAAGTCCCTGCGCAGCTCCTCCAGCTGGGCCTCGCTCAGCGGGCGCAGGGGGGCGCGGCAGGGCCCGCCGTGGTACCCGAACCACTCCATGGCCTGCTTCAGCGCCGGGATCCCAAACTTGCGGGTGACCTGTGGGTGCCAGAGACACGCTGAGAGGCTGGCCTGCCCGCCCCCCGCACTCCTCCAGCTTCTGTGCGCGACCC